TGTCATTGCAAATATCTTCTCCCATTCGGCAGGTTGCCTTTTAGTTTTGTTGATTGTTTCCTTTGCTGTGCAGAAACTTTATTTTGATGTTGACCCAGTAGTTTATTTTTGCTTTTATTTCTCTTGCCTCAGGAGACATATCTAGAAAAACATTGCTATGGCTGATGTTAGAGAAATTACTGCCTATGTTCTCGTCAAGGATTTTTATGGTTTCAGATCTCACATTTAGGTCTTTAATCCATTTTGAGTTTATTTTTGTGTATGGTGAAAGAAATTGGTCCACTTTCATTCTTTTGCAGGTAGCTGTCCAGTTTTCCCAACACCATTTGTTGAAGACACTGTCTTTTTCCCATTGTCAATTCATTCCTCCTTTGTCGAAGATTAATTAACCATGTAATTATGGGTTTATTTCTGGGTTTTTTATTCCATTGGTCTTTGTGTCTGTTTTTATGCCAGTACCATACTGTTTTAATTGCTACCACTTTGTAGTATAACTTGAAGTCTGGAATTGTGATACCTCCAGTTTAGGTTTTTTTTTTAAGATTTTATTTATTTATTTGACAGAGAGAGAGCAAGCACAAGTAGGCAGAGCAGCAGGCAGAGGGAGATGGAGAAGCAGGCTCCCCACTGAGCAGAGAGCCTGATGTGAGGCTCAAACCCAGGACCCCGGGATCATGACCTGAGCTGAAGGCAGATGCTTAACCAACTGAGCCACCTAGGCACCCCTGTTTTTCTTTTTCAAGACTACTTTGGTTATTCGAGGTCTTTTGTGTGTTTTCCTAGATTTTTATAGCAGGGTAGTTATCTATTTTAATTTTTGATATAAATATTTAAGGCTCTGAATTGAAGACTATGAATTTTCTTCTAGTATTTTCATTATCATTTTTTAGAAATTCTGTAATTTTGACTTCTGTTTCACCTTTCTGTCAAGTTGATAGAGAGTTTTTAAATTTCTTAGTGGAAAGGTGTGAGATGATAGAAAATATATATATTGGTTTCTGCCCTGGGTTCCTGGCACAGAGGTCCTGAAATTCTTGTGACTTCCTAAGTGATAAGAGCACTAGGGCATCATTTGTTTTAATATTTGGTTTTTGACCCCAATTCTTGACAGCGTTCCTGAATCCTGTGGAATTTCCTGGGAGATTAACTGTGTTTTATTCTGAGGTGACCTTTGGTGGGCTTCTGGTTGGGAACTGATCACCGGAAGGAAAGAATAAGCCATGATTAGAAGCTTGGGATTTTCAGTCCCACTCCCCATTTACCAGAGAGGGAATGGGGCTGGAAATGGAGTCAATGATCTATAACGCTTATGTGATGAAGCCTTCATAAAAATTCCGAGGTATGGAGTTCAGAGAGCCTCCAAGTTGGTAAACACGTGAGGGTGCTGGGAGAGTGGAGGCCTTGGTGAGAGCATGGAAGCTCCACCCCCATTCCCACAACCTGTCCTGTGCATCTCTATCATTTGGATGTTCATCTGTATCCTTTATCATATCTTTTTATAATAAACTGATAAACCTAACTGTTGCCTTGAGTTTTGTGAGCTGTTCTAGCAAATAATTGAATCCAAGAGAAGAGTCAAAGGAATCTCTCATTTGTAGACAAGTCCAACAGAAGTTGAGGATAACCTGGGGCCCTATTACTTGTGATTAGCATCTAAAGTGGCAGGCTTGTGGGGTTGAGCCCTTAACCTATGGTGCCTGCGCTAACTCTGGTTAGAATCAGAATTGAATCATGGGACACCCACTTAGTGTCACAGACAGTTGCCTAATGTGGGGGAAAAAAACCATATTTCTGGTGTCTCAAGTGTTCTGAGTGTGGTCATATTGTGAGAGTAAAGGAGAAACACATAAATAGTGTGTTTTTCCTAAACAAAAGGCCTCTTGGGGTGCATATGTGGCTCGGTTGAGTGTCTGACTGTTGATTTCAGCTCAGGTCTCGATCTCAGGGTTGGTCTTGAGTTCAAGCCCCGCACTGGGCTCTACACTGGGTGTGGAGGCTACTTCAAAAAAAAAAAAAAAAGGACCTTTTGTTTTTTGTTATTAATATTCAGTTTTATTGTATCGTGGTTAGAGTGTATTCTTTATAATGCTTTCTTGGCGTGATCAGTATTTATAAATGCTCCATGTATACTTCAGAGGAAAGTATATTATCACAGTACGGTTTGATACGTATCAATAAGATCTACCTCACTGATTATGTTAATTAGGCTTTATCTTATTTTGTGTCGGCTTGATCTGGTTCACACTGAGAGCAGTGTGTTTTCTGTTTTATTAAGTTGCTTTTATTACTTGGTACATGGATATTCATTACTGTTTTATCCTATTATTTTATCCATGTTGTGAATGCTTTTTGCATTAAAATATGCCATGTTTAATGCTCTTGGGCTTAAAATCTACCTTGTCTAATATTAGGATCATGACCTTGTATTGCTTTTGTTTGCCTGGTGCACATTTGCCTACCCCTTTATTTTTAGCTTTTCTGGTTAACTTTGTTTTAGTTGTATTTCTGATATACAGAATGTATCCAAGTTTTTTTCTTTTAATAGTTAAGTCCATTCGTATTTACTTATGATTATTATGGATAATCATTATATGTATTAGCTTTTATTTGTTGTGTTTCTTCAAACGATGTATTTTCTTTGCTATTTTATTTTACTAATTGCTTTAGTTAGAAAAAGTTGTATTTTTCTTTTATTGGTTATCTTTGTACTTACAAATTTAAAAAAGATAGGTAACATTCGTTGAGCTTTTACAGTATACTAGGTACTATGCTAAATGTCTTATACAGATTATCTCTTTTAATCCTCAAAACTGACCTATGAGGCAGTTACTATTATTTTCCCAATTGTAGGAATAAGAAAACTGATGCCCAGAGAGGTTAAGTAACTTGCCCAAAGTAACTCAGCAAGTGGTAAAAGCCAGAATTTGATTACAGGGAGTATGACTCCAGAGCTAATGATTTTTTTTTTGAAAAACTTTATTGTTGCATAATTGACACCCAGTAAACTGCACATATTTTAAGTGTATGATCCTTCCCACCCCTCCCCACCACCCTTCTTCCCAGTGCCTAAACAACCACTGATCAGTGTCAATTTTGTGTGTATCTTCTTTAAAAATGTTGGTGGGGTTTGATTTTTAATCTTTGGTTTTTGGAGTTTATGGTGAGTCCTAAACATGATTTTCTTTTAATTTATCCTATTTGGAGTGAATTTCTTGAATTCTTGAATTTCTTGAATTCTGTAAATTTATATCTTCAGTCGAATTTTGGAAGTTTTGGTATTATTCAAATATTTTTTTTCTGCCGAATCTTTGTTCTCTTCTGTGATTCCACATCTACATTCATTATATCATTTAAGCTGTTCCACAGGTCCCTGAGGTTCTGTCCATTTTTGTTTTCCAGTCTTCTTTCTTTGTGTTCCTTATATTGGATAATTTCCATTGAGCTATTTTTAGGTTTATTGACTCTTCTCTCTGTCATCTCTTTTGTACCATTGAGCTCATCCAGGGAATTTATTTTAAATATAGGATTTTTGAGTTCTAAAATTTTCATTTAGTTCTTTTTTTATAGTTTCTATTTCTGTTTGTATTTCCTATCATTTCATTCATTTCAAGCATGTTTTTCTTTACCTCCTGGAGCATAGTTATAGTTCCTTTAAAGTCTTTGTCTACTAATTTATACTTCTGCTTTATTTTGTGCTGGTATCTGTCACTTGTTTTCATAGATATTCAACTTTCTTGGTTCAGACTCTTAAGTTCTGTCTCATCTTCTTTCAGCTCTGCTCTCCTTTCATCAGCTCAGCAATTCAGTTCTTGGTTCTTTAAGCCTTGGTGGTACTGTTGTAGGCCTGCCTCACACATGTATAGTTTAGGAGTTAAGCCAAGACTTGTGAGTGTTCATACTCAGAAATGGGGAGTCCCCTTCTCTGGCTCTCTTCCCCTTGGAGTTTCCCCCACACCCTCCAGTCTCCCTGGCTCCTTGGGCCAGGAAGGGGTTTCCATTGTTTTTGCCACCTGCATTGCTTACAAACTGGGGCCCACCTTCAGTGCAAAGCCATGAAGGAGAAAAGAAAACTGGAAACTCCCCTTCAGGGTTGGCATCTCCAAGTTTTGACCCCCTGCTAACAATGTACCTGCTTTTGTGTACTTTTCTGGGTCCTTAGGGGGGCTGTATGTGTATGTGTGTGATGTATGTGTTGGGAGTTAATAGTTACAAATGGAAGGATGGGCTATCAGGAAATTACATCCCCTAATTTGGGTTTTCTTTCTTCATGCTGATGTGCATAGTTTTTGAAATTGTCATTCACATAGCCATTATTACCTCTGTTACCTTGGTAGTCAATATTGAGTTCTTTCTCTGAATCCAGCCAAAGCTTTTTTTTTTCCCCTGTATCATCTTTTTGACATACTGTGTTGATTAGGTAAAAGAAATATGTTGTTCTTAGTTTTTAGTAGTTCTGTTATCTATAATTAAGGCTTGTTTTAAGAACCATATAATAGGAATTTTAAATAAATCAAAGACCTTATATTATAGAAACATCTTGCTTATATTTGTTCTGTTAATCTGTAATGTAGGTAGGCCAGAAAAATCTAAGAGGATAATATGACAATAAAGACTAGCAAAAAGCAGTCATAGTCACTATGAATTTCAAAGGGGCTTATAATAGGTGGGGAAATAATAACAGTATTTCAATATCTCTGTAAGAAGTTAATGCATTTTTTAAAAATTTGTCTAGATAAAGGACACAAAGAGGTTCAGTCCTGAAATAGCCACATGACTTTGATCATATGTATTTTTATGTAGTTATCAAGATTGTCATGAGATTTAAATGTTAATTTTTTTATATGTGTGTTTAAATGCAGTTGAAAACACTATTTTAGTTCTGCCCTTTAAAAAAATAAAAACTCTGAAATGTTTATTAATGACCCATAACCTAATGTGTGGATGGTGACATTCAAACTTTAATACTTTATAACGTTTAACTTATAATTTTTCCCATTTAGATGGTCTTCTGATTGTTGGTGTTCACTCGGCTAAGTTTCCAAATGAAAAAGTCCTGGATAACATTAAGAGCGCTGTTCTTCGATACAACATCACCCACCCTGTGGTTAATGATGCAGATGCCAGTCTTTGGCAAGAACTAGAAATTTCCTGCTGGCCAACTCTGGTCATACTTGGACCCCGTGGAAATATGTTATTTTCTTTGATTGGAGAGGGACACAAAGATAAATTATTTTTATATACTTCCATAGCTTTAAAGTATTACAAAGACAAGGGACAGATCAGAGATAATAAAATTGAAGTAAAACTCTATAAAGATTCTTTGCCACCTTCACCATTGCTGTTCCCTGGCAAAGTAACAGTAGACCATGTTTCTAATAGATTGGTAATAGCAGACACTGGACATCATAGAATTTTGGTCGTCTGGAAGAATGGACAAATTCAGTACAGCATTGGAGGTAAAGTTTGCTTCTAACTATGATACATAATTTATAGTAAAAAAAAAATAGCTCAAGGAAATGTGTTAAAAATTGAAATTTATCACCCTGGTTTTAGATCTAAAACAGGCTCTTATTGACATCTACATAGTCAATAAAATCTGTTAAGTACATCCTTCTTAATCCTGATTACTCAGACTGAATTGACATCTAGTAACGTAATAGTCAAAGAGAAGAGTAATTCATCTCTTTGCAATCCTGCTTTAGTAACGTATGCAGCATTAGTACATAAAGTAGGGGTATCTGCATTCCTAATGCAAATAAACTAGTCTTATTCCTAAGCCCTGGTGCTATTCTTAGAATGCCTAGATATTGTTCCCCTAGCTCTTGAATTTTTCACATTTCTTTTTCGTTTTTGTTAGAGTATGTGTTTTATGTTTCTTTTGTTTCAGCAACTTGATGTTTGGGTTGATGACAGGCAGTTTTAAGAATTGTTGCTTAAAAATTACCCGTTGTAGTAGGTTGATTTAAATGGTTAAAAGGTTTTTAATGGTATAGCTTTCAGAATGCTGTAAATGAATATTTTCCTTTGTTAAACAGAAAAACCAGCAGCAAGCTACCTTTCCCAATCATGTTTTTAGGGATAGTGGTATCTTGTGATAAATTAAAAGTTATTCTACAATAATTTTTAAAAATTCTATGGTCAGATACAATTAGGAAATATTGGTTAGATCTGTTTAAGAGACATTTGTTGGTGGTGGTGTCACTGTACTCCTCCATCTTTTACTCTGCTTGTATACCTCATGAATATTCAAGAGAGGTTATACTATACAATGTATTCCAATCTAAAGGGACCATGGTACTCTCCCTTTTTTCCCATAGGGAACCCCCATTAACAACAATAATAGTATTATTAATAATAGTAATAATAGCAAACATATATATGCCTGGCATTATTCTAAGCACTTTACCTGTATTAATTTAGTCCTCACAATGCTATGAGGTAGGTATATTATTAGTTCCATTTTACAGAAGAGAAACTGAGATATAAAGAACTTGTTTAGATCATCAGCTAGGAAAAGATAGAGCTTAAACTAAGTCACTTGGATTCTTGAGTTCATGTTCCTAGCCACTACATTATACTGCTTCTCTAACATCTAGGACAGCAGAGTTCTGCAAAGCATAGTTTGGGAGTGCTGACTTAGAGGCTTTGAATGGTTTATTGTCTGTCATAGAAATAACAGTTATGTTTTTATGTCGTGTACTCTCCACCCTTGAAACTCTGCATGTATTAGAGAAGCTGAGAAGTAGGCCATTAGACCAGAATCTCTCTTTGTCTCTCCAAGTGTCTATAGGATATTATAGAACTTTGTGGCAAAGTGAAATAGTAAATATGAAGGTTTCTTAACCTGGGGTACGTAGACTACTACGAAATGCTTGAATGGCCCTCAGGATCTAGGAACCCCTTGAAATTGTTTGTGACATCTTATGGGTATATATATTTTTCTAAGGAAAGTGTTCATAATTTTCAATGTATTATCAAAGGAGTATATCTTCCAAAATTGTTAAAAATCATTCATCTAGATGTGAAAAGATTAAAATTATTTTTAACTCTTTCTAGTCTATGTAATAGATAATTAAGATAGTTTAAAAAATATATTCTCTTCTGATATATACTCCTAAAGTAACCATTATCCAGTAAGCCCTTTCATTAGCAAAACTTACTCTTGAGAAAAACATATCTTGGGAAATTGTTTTTAGGTGAAAGTATCATGCTATTTATATTAAAATCCCGGCTTTAAATACAAATTTTATGTATTTATTTTGGTTTGATTTATTTATGTCATAAAATGATTACCACAAGAGGTTCAGCTAACATCCATCTTCCCCTATAGATACAATAAAAAGAAAATAAAGGAAAAAAAATATTTGGGGGGGTTTACTATGAGATAACTTTTTAAGTGGAAAAAAATTGTCTTGTGGCTTTCTTTCTTTTAGGACCCAACCCTGGAAGAAAAGATGGAATATTTTCAGAGTCAACTTTTAATTCACCACAGGGTGTAGCCATAAGGAATAATATCATCTACGTAGCAGATACTGAAAACCACCTTATAAGAAAGGTAATTTTCAATTTTAAGTACAATTTTAATACTTCTAATCAGAAAAAAAATGGTATTTACTTGCTACATTAAATTTTTGGAATGAGAGGGTGATCCTTAAACACTTCAAATCCTCCTTATTCAGCTTTTTTCAGAGGTAACTGCTTTAGTTTTATTCTTAGGTATCTTGTTTTCCTGTAGTAGTCACAGAAGACAAACCTATCAATCAAGTCTTTTTTTTAATCCTTTGTTTCAAAGTGCCTAATCACCCCAAAGCTCCTCATTTTGCAGTATTTTCCTAACCATTGTTTACAGAGTAATGCTTTGTCCTTTTTCAGTTAAATTTTCTCAAACCTAGGAAAAAAATCATACCACTCCCACCTCCCTTCAGCTCTAATGCTTTGCCTGGAAATACTTACCCAGTCAGTCTTAAAATTTGTTTTACCTCATTTTTTAAAATTTTTAAAGATTTAATTTATTTATTTGAGAGAGAGACAGACAGAGACAGAGCACGAGCAGGGGGGAGGAGGCAGAGGGAAAGGGAGAAGCAGACTTCCCCCTGAGCAAGGAGCCAGATGCGGGACTCAATCCCAGGACCCTGAGATCATGACCTAAGCCAAAGGCAGATGCTTAACCAACTGAGCCACCCAGGTGCCCCTTGTTTTACCTCATTATAAAAGTTATATATGATCTTTTTTATTAAGCATGAATTAATACATAAAGGTAAAAAAGGCTCATAGCTTCTATTCTAGCTCCTTAGAGATAACTAACCATTGTTAAAATTTTTGTCTTTTCAGTAATTTTCTATTCCTATCAAATAAATTTATATTTAAAAGACTGTCTCTAGAGAATCCTTTTTTAAACAAATGAAATCATATTGTACATACGTAATCTTCTGCAGTTCTTTTAAATTTGTTTTCCATATTAGTCACATGAATGATATGACTGCATAGTATCCCATTGTAGAAGTACTTAGTTATTTTAAACATTTCATATGAATGAATATTTTGGCTATAATCCATTGGCCTTTAAGTTGCTGTCTATTTAGAAAATAATTAAGTTCATCTCACCCATCCTGCCAAAACACATTATTGCAGATACTTCCTTGCTTTTCTCAATTTTTTTCTGTATTAATATTTATGCCCATTTGGCAATGTTATCATGTAAAATAATAGGAAAAAACATGTAGAACTTGTGATACCACTGTAAGGTAAATTTCAGTGAGGTCATGAAATTGTTTTTACTGCTGAAATCTTAAGCACCTAGAATTGGGGCTGGCCCATTATAAGTGTTCAGTAGGTATGTGTTGAATGAATTTTTGAGCAAATAACCTATTTAGTGAAATATTTTCTGAAGTGTATATTCCTCTTAATATGAAAACATGTTATATGAGGCAAGGATTTTGTGGATTTGTTAATTAAAGCAGATTTATTCTTTAAAAGTCTTGGAGACTTTGTTCTTAGAGACTTTAATATGTTAATATATTGTGAATACATTAGTGGGGGGATATATGTGCAGTATTTCTAAATTTATTTGACAAAAGAGCCCTTTTTAGGCAGAACTTTTTGTAGGACTAATGATTTTATGGTATGTCATGATTTCCCACTTTGGGAAAAAATGCCTTTCTGTTGTTACCAAGTCCTTAAAGGTCAGTGTTTCTTTATCATTATCTTTTCTATAATTCATCATAGTGTCATGGATATCTAACAAGGTGTTGAAGTAGTAAGATATTTAGCCCACAACATTCATGGGATACTTGTCTTTTTTTAATTCTATGTTTTTCTCTTGCTTTAGAACTTAATGGGTTTTATGAGGGTTCTAGAGGGGAGGGGGGTGGGAGGATGGGTTAGCCTGGTGATGGGTATTAAGGAGGGCACGTTCTGCATGGAGCACTGGGTGTTATATGCAAACAATGAATCATGGAACACTACATCAAAAACTAATGATGTATGGTGATTAACATAACATAATAAAAAAAATTTTAACTAAGAAAAAAAACTTAATGGGTTTTAGAGTATTCATTGCATTTCAAATACTTTTTAAGTAGCATAATCACAAAAATTTAGGTTACATGAACTTATTTTTAAATTATATGACTTAGTTTAATGTCTACAAAAAAAGTGAGATGGAATTATTATTTCTTCTTTTTTTAAATATATAAAAATATTTATTGTTTACTTTTGTTTAAGACCTTATTTGCAGAGGATTGATCATATGTTCATATTTCACAAATGTCATTGTTTCATGCAGACCTGACTTTTGTTTAGAATAATTTCTTTAGTAATTTATAAATTCCTTTTTAGCCCCACTCTCATTCCCCCTGCTATTCCCCTACATAAACATAACTTGTAGGCAGCCATTCTGGCACATTTAATTCAAATCTTTCTATTTGTATATGTAATGCTTGTGTGTGTTTTCCTAACAACTTTATTGTGATATATTTTACATAGCACTCATTTCAAGTATGTAATCCAAGAATTTTTAGGAAATTTAGCAAGTTGTACAACCATAGCCATAAATTGTTTTTAGAACATTTTCAGTCCCCTGTAAGAACCCTCATGCCCAATTACAGTTAATCCCTATTTTCACGCCCAGCCCTAACCTACTCTCTGTCTATAAATTTGCCTCTTTTGAACATGTCATAGATATAGAATCATATAATATATGGCCTTTTGTGTCTGTCTTCTTTTATTCTGAGCAATGTTTTTGAAGTTCAACTATGATGGTAGCATATCAGTAGTTTATTCTTTTGTATTGCTGAATAGCATTCCACTGTATAGATATACCACGTTTTCCACCAGTTGATAGATTTAGTGTGTTTACAATTTTTGGTTGTAATGAATTCATATAAGAATTTTGTGTGAACATACATTTTCATTTCTATTGGTAGATACCTAAGTAAAGGAATTGTTGAGTTATATGTTTTCTATTTTATGTTTAACTTGTTAAACTGCTAAACTTTTCCACAGTGGTGGTACCATTTTACATTTCTTCCTGCAATATTTGTGGGTTCCATTTTCTCCATATCTTCACCATTATTTGTTATTTTCCATTTTTTAAGTTCTAGCCCTCCTACTAGGTATGACTTGGCCTCTCAGTGTGGTTTTGATAATAATTTCCCTAATGAGTAAAGATGTCAAGCATCTGTTCCCATCCTTAATGGACCGCTTGTATATCTTCCTTTGAAAAGTGTCTGTTCAGATTCTTTACCTGTTTTTTAACTTGGTTGCATTCATTGTTATTGAGTTGTAAGAGTTCTTTATACATTCTAGATACAAATCCCTTATGGGATATGTGATTTTTCAAATACTTTGTCACATTCTGTGGGTTGTCATTTTCACTTTCTTAATCATATCTTTTGATGTACAGAGTTTTAAATCTTGAGGATTCCCAATTTTTTTCTTTCATTGCTTATGCTTTTGGTGTCCTACGTAAGATATTACATTGCCAAATGCAAGATCATGAAGATTTACTCCTGTGTTTTCTTCTGAGAGTTTGATAGTTATTGGCTCTTACAGTTCAGTCTTTGCTTCATTTTGAATTTATTATTTTTTTTATATGATGTGAGGTAGGGGTCCAACTTCATTCTTTTGAATATGGATATCCAGTTATCCCGGAATCGTGTATTGAAGAGACTGTTTTTACTCAATTGAGTAGTCTTGGCAACCTTGTGGAAAATAATTATTCATACCTCCATGGGTTTATTTCTGGATTTTCAAGTCTATTCCATTGACATATATATCAGTTCTTATGCCTCTACCACACTGTTTTGATAGCAGTAACTTTTAATAAGTTTTGAAATCAGGAAGTAGGAATCCTCTCACTTTCTTCTTTTTCAACATTGTTGTGACTGTTCTGAGTCCCTTGCAATTCCATATAAATTTTAGGATTAGCCCATCCATTCCTGTAAAATCCTGTTTGTTTTTCATATAAATAATTATATTGTCTGCCAAAACAAATGGGAATTTTATCTTTCCCTTCTTATTTTTACACATCTTGTTTTCTTTTATTGTTGGCAAGAACCTCAAATGCCTTTAAACATTAGCAGTAATAGTGGATATCTTGTCATGCTCATAATCTTAAAGGGAGATTTTCTCCAGAAGTGTAATATTTTTTTTATAACTTTGGGAAATAAAATTATTCATGAGGTTAAACTTTCCTGGCTACTAAGAATTATTTTATTATATAATTTTATTAAGTGCCTTTTCTACATTTATTGAAATAACTGTATAGTTTTTTTGCCCTTGGTGCCTTGATGTAATGAGTTAATAGATTTTTGTTGTTCAGTCACCTTTTTATTCCTGGGATAAATCTTACCTAATCATGATTTTTTTTTAAAAGTCAAGTTGGATTTGATTATCCCAAATTAAATATTTTAAAATTCATGTTCACAAATTAAATGGCTCTATATTTTCTTATACTGTTCTCACCTGATTTGGAATCAAGGTCACACCAACTTCATCAAATAAGCTAATTAGTTTTCACTCTTTTTCTGTTTTTTTGGAATAATTTGTCTAACATAGGAATTAATGGATTTTGAATATTCATAAAACTCCCCTGAAACATCACCTGGGCCTTTGGCTTTTTGCAAGAGGAATTATCATAACAAGTCTTTGATACATTTCTTAAATCAAGATGTATTTCAAGGACCCATCCCTAGCTGCCTATTGTATTTTTGGATTGGGTTCAGTAAAATACAAATAAGGTTACATTGATGAATATTCTTTACAATTTCAGGAGATTATAGAACAGCCACTAAAAATAATGCAAGAGGATACTGCATAACTAAATCAATATAATTCACCATAGTAACAGAATAAAAGATAATAACCATATGATTGCTAGATTAGGTATTAAATGTTTTTAAATGTTTTTCTATTTATGATAAAATTAGTAAACTTGAAATGTAAATGAACATCTTCAATATGATAAAGGGCATCTGCAAGAAGCTTATAGCTATGCTTAATGCAAATTATTGAATGCTTTTCCTCCAAGACTGGGAACCAGGCAAGGATCCCCATTCTCACCATACCTGTTAAAAATTATACTGGGGGGCGCCTGGGTGGCTCAGTTGGTTAAGCGACTGCCTTCGGCTCAGGTCATGATCCTGGAGTCCTGGGATCAAGTCCCACATCGGGCTCCCTGCTCAGTGGGGAGTCTCCTTCTCCCTCTGACCCTCTTCCCTCTCGTGCTCTCTATCTCTCATTCTCTCTCTCAAATAAATAAAATCTTTAAAAAAAAATTTATACTGGAAGTACTAGCCATTGTAATAAGGCAAGAAAGGGAAAAGGCATATAGGCTGAAAAAGAACTGTCTTTATTTGCCAATTGCATGTCACATACATAAAAAATTTTAAGAAATCTATGAGAAAAGCTACTTGATAAGTGAATTTAGGAAGGTTGCAGAATACAATGTCAGTATAAAAAGAACAAAGTATATTTCTATATACTAGTAATAGGTTAGAATTTTAAAATTTTATTTACAGTAATAAAAAAATACATAGAATAAATTTAACATTGCTGAGAAAAATTAATCCAATAATTGGATTGGAAGGCTCAATATTAAGATATCCATTCTCTCCAAATTGATCTGTGGATTCAATGCAATCTCAATCAAAAGTCCATCAGGCTTGACAAGCGGACTCCAATATTTTACATGGAGGTTGCAAAACAAAGAATTTAGTAGCCCTAAAGCAATCTTGGAAAAACAAAGTTAAAAGACACACTATGTGATTTAAAGACTTACTATAATGCTACAGTAGTCAAGACAGTGTGATACTTTTATAAGGATAGATGTGTATTTCAATAAAAAGGAGTAGAATGTCTAGAAGTAACCTCATACCTACACAGTTATTTGATTTTTCAAAAAGCATCAAAGTAATCAAGGGAGAAAGGAAAGTCATTTCTGCATATTGTGCTTGCACAACTACATACTCATATGGGGAAAAAAAAGAAACATGATCTCTACCTCACACATCATATTACAAACATCAATTCAATATGCATCACAGCCCTAAATGTAAATGTTAAAACCATAAAGTTTTTAGAAGAAAACATGAGAATCTTTGTGACTTGCAAGTAGGCAAAGGTTTCTCAAAGACAGGACATAGAAACAATTATAAAAGAAAAGATAAATTTGAATTTATCAAAATTTAAAACTCATTAAAATTTACTGTTAAGAAAATGAAGACAAGCTACAGGCTGTCAGAAATTAGTCACAAAAATTTACGAAACATATCTGAAGGGACTAAGATCCATGAAATATAGTTTCCTACAAATAAAAAATGGGCAAAGATTTGAACAGACCTTTTTCAAAAGATGTAGGAATGACCACAAACCCATAAAGTAATCGACATCACAGGTTAAAAAGGAAATGCAAAGTGAAAGCATAATGAAATACATCCACCATAATGGTTAAAGTTAAAAAGACTGACAAGAAAGAAAGAGAGAGAGAGAGAAAGAAAGAAAAGAAAGAAAGAAAAGAAAAAGAAAAAACAACCGACAACACCATAGTTTGGCAAGGCAAGGATGTGGAGCAATTGGAACTTGCATAGATCGTTGGAGAAAATACGGAAATTATCTAGACCACTGAGAAAAAACCTTCTGGCAGTTTTTTTTTTTTTTTTAATCAAACTAATCCTATAACTGCCCTATAACACGGCAGTTATAGCCCTGGGTATGTACACAAGAGAAGTGAAAAGATACCTTCAGCAAAAGACTTCTACAAGAATATTGAGAGCAACTCTATTTGAACCCCCCAAACTGGAAATAGTCCAGGTATCCATCAGTAGGAAAATAAGTAAATAAACTGTGGAATATTCCTATCATGGAATATTGCTCAGCAGGAAAAAGGAACGAACTACTTATATATGAATAAATCTCAGAAACCTGTTAAGTGAAAGAAGCCTCACACACAAGACTCCATATTCTTCAATTCTGTTTATCTGAAATTCTGGAAGAGATACAACTGACCTATGATGGAAAAACAGTACTCTTTGCCTCTGGGGGTAGGAGTGATCGGAAGGAGGCTTAAGGGGACTTGCTAGAATGAAGATAACATTTGATATCTTTATGTAAGTTGAGGCTACACAGATTAATGCATTTATGAGAATTCATTGAATGGAGCATTTAAGGTATGTGCATTTCATTGTAAGTTTTGGCTCCAGAAAAGAAAATGGACCTGAAAAAATATGGAACTCTTGTTAATTATAAGCATGCTGAGATACTTAAGGTCAGCGTACTGATGTTTACAGTTTACTTTGAAATGCATCCAAAAGTGTAAATGGATTGAGGGATTGATAGCTCAGTAAGATATGTGATAAAGCAAGTACGTGAAATGTTGATATGAGGTCGTGGGCGTATGGATGTTTGCTGCAAAATTCTTTCAACTTTTATGTTTGGTAATTTTCGTGATAAATTTGGCGGAAGGATCTCAGGAGATGAAACCAAAGCATCTTTTTTTCAGTAGACTTCATTATTTCAGTTTATAAAGTAGAGGCAGTGTAATGGGGTAGAGCTAGAACTGCCTGGGTTTAAATCCCAGATCTTTGACTTACTAGCTGTGGGATCTTGGGAAAGCTGCTTTATGATCTGTGCCTCAGTTTCCTCAATATTAATCAAAATCATAATCATAGGTTATTATGAGGATGGATGGATGGATGATTATTGGATCAGTGCCTAGCACATATTAAGCTCTATTATTTGTCAATTACTAGTCAAGCATAATTGAAATACATACATTTAATTTTAAGAAACTTGCATCTTTCTAGATTTGCTTTGAAATTTCAAATTTCACTTTAACATATTTTATAGTTAAGATGACATCACCAATCCTGGTAGAGGCCAGTGATGAGGAAGGGGGGGATGGGTGGGGAAATGAAAAGGACTAGTTTTGTGCATTTGAATAACAAGCTCGCCCTATACTTGATTAGCCCCCCCTTTTTTTAGCCTTTTTTTTTTTAAGAGTATTTGTGTTACAAAAACTTTCTATATGTTCTATTGGAAATCTTCATGTACCAAAAGGAAAAAAACAAAAGTAACATGCATTGCATAAAACTTGTTAATTTTTATAGATTGATCTAGAAGCTGAGATGGTGAGCACTGTAGCTGGCATTGGAATTCAAGGTACAGATAAAGAAGGTGGAGCTCAGGGAGAAGAACAACCCATTAGCTCTCCTTGGGATGTAGTTTTTGGAACGTCAGGTATGTAAACTTTTAATACTAAATATAAGTAAACTTTGCTTAACAAATGTAATATTTTTAAAATATTCTGGGGTTCATTTGGATTAATTCTAATTGCTAGTTATTTTATAATTTTATTACCTATGGTGGGATTCATTGTGTAAAAATAAAGCCGGCAGTAATATATATAACTTACAGTATATATTGTTATATATAACATTACATATTATATTTTATACACAAGTAGACTATATATTACTCTAATGTTAAAGAATTTTGTCTTCTGTAGTTTCCAATTAATATAGTTCTGAATATTCTTAAATTGGAAAGATTGTAGTTTTGGAACTTCAAATGATTATTCATGAACTATGCTGTTTAACAGTGCCTTTTTATTTAATTTGAAATCCAGAAATGATAGCTGCTTTTTTTAGATTATTAAAATTTGTATTGAAATGTGATAGCTCCATTTGGGTAATTAAAAAAAAACTTTACTGAATTATATAGGTATTGATATCTTTATAATCTTTATTACCTGTATTAATTTGACTAGAAATCATCTTGGAGCATTAGTACTCTTATTTTTCATTGGCCCTCAGTGATTCTGAGATAGTTACACATCTACACATCTAAAACCAGAGTAATGAATAAAGAAAGTTAGTAGAATACATTGAAAGTGGAATTTTGTACTAAGTGGTTTGTATGATCTGAATTATATTTATAGAGTGAATAAGTACCAGGTTAGTTTAATGGCTTTACATTTGAGATAATTTCCTATTGTGATGTTAATCTGGTTATAATTCAAAGACCTTAATTTTTTCCATTGTGATTAACTTTATAAAGCTTTTAATATTCATAAAATAATTGAATGAACTTCTGGTACTACCGCACTTAATAATAACTTAGGTATTTTGCATAAGTTACTTTTGAGACTTTTATTTTTGGAATTCTGTGTCCTGATAATCATGAGTTGTTTTAGTGGCTCACAGGGAGAAGGAGTTGGGAAGGGAGGGGAGCAGTGTGTCCCAGGCACACTCAATCAATAAGGGGATATATGCAGAGAATTTTAAAACAGTAGTAAAACCAGCTACAGTTCAGTCTTCTTTTTGTCACCATGCACGGCCAATTCTAAATAATTTCAGGGTTAAAAATACTCATCCCCCCCAGGACTTATCTGTCCGTCCTGCCTCCTTGCCTTTGATACACTGAGCTATTTGAACATAAACCTTATAGACAGAAAAATAGTCTGAAACGTCTCTCTCGGTAAAATAGTCAAGAGTGGATGGGAATTGTTACTTTGGTATGCTGTCACCCTCCCTCAAGGGAAAAAGAAATTTTTTCTCCCCTTAGCATGTAAGCCCCCGGGAACTTAAAGCTAATAGTGCATATAGCAATTCATTTATAGATATTTACATTTTGCAACCTACAACTTGTATTTACTGTATTTGTTAGTAATTGCCACAATAACAGTTCATAAGAAATCATCCCAAAACTCATACGAACCTAAACCTTTATTTCTTACTCATATATAGGATTGGGGTTCAGCTGATCAAGGCTAAGCCTGGGCTTGGTTCCAGGCTGTTTCTTGGGTCTAGATCTGCCCTGTTTGTTTCTCAACCTCCTTGAACCGATAGCTGTCTGAAGCATATTCTTTTGTCAGAAGGCAGGAGCACAAGAGAGTAAGCCCAGTTAAACACATTTGAAGCCTTTGCTCATGTCGTAACTGCTTACCTACTGTTATTAAGCATGTCACATGACTAAGCCCAAAGTCATGGGGCAGGGATACACACTTTGCCTACAGTGAGGCTCTGGTAAGGGTATGAATGTGTAATAGTACAACAGAGGAGTAAAGAATTAAGACTAGTAATTAAGTCTGTCACATAAATCAGAAATTACATTGCTTAAAAACAGGGTGTACTTTACTGGATACTTTATTTAGTTGGATTTATTTACATATTTTTTTCTAGGCTAAAAGTTTTTCATACTTTATAGCATGGAATCTCTGGTTGTTTATTTCCTATTGAGAATGTACCCAGACTGCTTTCTAAGGAAAATCTTGGGTCTATAGACAAGTACCCTCTCAGCTTCCAACTGAATAATGTGCTGAGACTTATGTCTTTATTAAGCTCAGTTCTCAGGAAAGGAAGTGAGTCCTACCTTAGCTCAACAGATCATTAAGAGCATATGGCTCTGCATTTCACTTAGAGCTTAGAATAGCTTCACTCCAGGTACTTGGCAAAAGGAGTAATCTTGAATGCACTTAAGCTTAACACCTTTCAAAATTCTCAGAGAAAATGGTTTTCAAGCACTATATGAAGGACCTATAATCACAATGACAACTCTAGTCCAAGAGTTTTTAACCTTGAGTCATATACCCCAGGCATTCCTGGTTAGGCTTTCTGAGGTACTTAAACTTCTCAGAAATTCTATATAAGATTTGGGGGAATTGGTCAGATTTTCATCAGAATTTTAGAGTACATTACCCAAAATTATTTTAAGAGCGCCACTGCTTTCAATTACTCTAAAATCTAATCCTGGATTAATGTATATTGTCAGAGTATAGGGAAATTGGATTACAGAATATTCTTAGAATTGTTTTTACTAAATAGTAGTTTGGCATCCTGTCATTCATTAAAAAATGTGTCACCACATTTATATCTGTATGTATGCATGTGTGTTTGATATGTATTTCATCAAAACACAGTCCTATGGGACTTGTTACGATTTTTACTATAGGGATCTGTTGGTAGTTCAATCATTACCTTATAAATAAATTTCTCTACTGGAGAAATTTTTTTCTGATCTCTGTATTATGGATAATACTTTTTTCCCTAAGTATCAAGTTTGATTTAAGCTCTTTGATAATTTGAATATCGTAACTGATTGTATTTGTTTTGTTGTACTGATTGCCAGAAAACTTAGAGACACATTATCTTTAGCAAAGTATAATGGAAACACGGCCTTCCTTCTTTGGTGTGAGTACAGCTTCATCTCTCTTTTCTACCCTATTTACTTATTGCTTCAGTTTTTTATTTTAAATTTATTTATCAGTATTTCTTTGTAAGCTACCTGAATCCTTTGTGGAAATAAAAGTAGAAGTAAATGGAGTAGAACCCATTACTAATGTGATTGACTATGATAACTGGTCCAGTTAGAAAAGAAAATCTTTTAAATCTGAGGATCATAAAAGTAAAAATACTTTCTTCTAAGAACTATAAGTGTACATTATTAAACCAATCTTCTGATGTAGGACCAAAGCCTTTTCTTCATGTAGCCCCTGACAGTCTTGTACCACTCCAAATAAACTATTTGGATTTCCTTAAATGTGATGAGAATTTTCAAACACTTGCAAGGAAGTCTGAGGGCTGCAGTGTTTTTAACTTATTCTTTCAATTGTCTTTCCACACTTAGTTCAACAATTTGACTTGGCTACTTGCCTTTATTGAGTCTTTCCAAAGTATTCAACTTTGTTTTCATAAAAACAACTTTCCATTTGCATTCATATTGAATTGGTCACTGTATATATAAATTATGTAATCGTACAACTGGTTTAAACAGATGTGGAATTAAACGCAACTTGAAGGGGACTGGCTGAGAAAAATTGTTCATATAAAAACTTAGGTTTTTTGACACTTTAAGAGAATATTCCTGAAATTCTACCATAGTTGTGAATTTGAGAGAGGACGGAATTATCAGGAGGAAAACATGGAAAACTAGATTCAGGGTTGTGGTATCTTCATCCATTAGGCTGTCCTGCAGCGCCAGTAACGGCCCACAGCTAGAGCTGGCAGCCACAGACAAGTCACAGGCATCTGAGTAAGAAATCAAGTTGCAGAAGAGACCTACAAGATGATTTCTTTTACAGAAAGTTGACCCTGCAGGAAAAAACCTTCATGTAACTTTGACTCCCCCAAAACTTAACTGCTGATAGCCTGCTGTACCGACAACAGAAACAGTCAACTGATGCATACTTTGTATATTATATGTATATATACTGTATTTTTTTTTAAGATTTTATTTATTTGTCAGAGAGCAAGCGAGCACACAAGCAGGGGGAGCGGCAGAGGGAGAGGGAGAAGCAGGCTCCCCGCGGAGCAGGGAGCCCAATGCAGGATTCCATCCCAGGACCCTGGGATCATGACCTGAGCCAAAAGACGCTTAACCGACTGAGCCCCTAGCACCCCTATATACTGTATTCTTACAAAAAAAGTAAACTGGAGAAAAGAAAATGTTAAGAAAATCGTAAGAGAAAATATAATTACAGTACTATACTGTATTGATTTAAAAAAATCTGTGCATAAGTGGACCCATGTAGTTCAGACCTGTTTTCAAGGGTCAGCTGTACATTGAGAGATCCATCCAGACATGGTAAAATTAAAAAAGAAAAGAAGAAAACGAAAAACACAAATTTTTAGACCAGTGGTTCCTTGTGGGAAAAAGAGAGGATATGATCATGGAGGGATGCATGAGGTTTTCAAATAATATCCTTCTTCAGCTTGGTGGTGTGCACATAGATTTTTAGTTATTAAACTTTATATGTATAACATGTATCCATTTGTATGTATGTTTAATTAAAAATTGAACTTCTAGAAAAAGCAATAGCTTAGGTAAAGAGAATGAAAAATAGTGGGGACAAATATACAACTGAATGTATATCTTATCAAGGGATCCATTTAATAAATAACATACTTCAGGAGATTAGGGAAAGGTACTTGAATACCTCTGATTGTTTTAAGTATACATGTAATGTGAAGATGTATGTATGTATTTTAAATGCTGACTGAATAGCCCAAACCCATGCCATCACAGTAATAAAAGCATAAAAATAATTAACATAAAATGATTTTTATAAAAGAGATTGTTTCATCTTTGTTTTTTATTATCACTGTGAATATGGTCAGAGCTTCATAATGCACTAAAAATAATTACTAGCTACAATAAATTTATAGTTTTTCAGAATCTTTGCCATGTTTCTAAGAGCTTTTTTATCATAAAGGTCAAAACCCCTGCTGGTCTCTAAGTAC